GCAGGACTGGAATGTCCTCTCATGAAGCAAATGAGTGGTTTAATGATCATGTCTATGACAAATGTTAAGTATTCCTTGGAATGTTTAAGCTTTATTACTTCTGCAATGTCAGAACTGCACCCACAACCACGTTTCAACATAGCTGTTGTTGTAATGTAGACAGAGCTTGTGAGGACTCTGTCAATGAAAAAAAAAGCAACTACAAATTCTGTCTGATGTACAGTGGAGGTGAGTTCAGGGCTGCAGAAACCTGGATTTAAGAATGTCTCAGTCTATAGTCTAACTTCCCTGCCTCCCTGCACATCAAACACCAACACAAAGTCTCTGAGGCAGGGACTGTCTCTGTACCTGTGTTAATATTGCACTATGGGGTAGGTTCGGACTCTTTGCTGGGGAGTTTTAGCACCACCAAAATACAAATGTTTATTGAGAAATACTATATCCATTTGGAAACCTGTCCAGAGTCATCAGAGCACAGTAATGCTTACTAATCCCAACAAGACTTAACAACAGCTACAGAAGTGTGGGAAGAGCTAAAAGCTAATCCTGCTGTAGGATCTTTCTTTAATCCCCTCAATGCTTAGAGACTGTCTCATGAACACTCTGGCATCTTCAGAAAAATACCATCTCTAGGACTGGAGAATGGGATGGTCCCTGAAGTTCTGCATTATTTTATGTATAGGTGAGGTTTGTAACATATTACTAATGCTTTAGTAGCACCTTAAGGGCTCTGATCAGGACTGGAATCTAATAGCATCAGTTACTTGTAGAACAGCAGTTTTCAATCATTTTTCATTTGCAGACCCCTAAAAAAATTCAAAGGAAGGTGCAGAGCCCTTTGGAAATTTCAACTGGAGATGTGGACCCCTTTGAACTGTAGGCATGGGTATTCATATACTTTGACTGATCATAGTCATCTTTTGCAGACCCCTTAGACATAGTTTGTGGATCCCCAGAAGTCTGCAGATTGCAGGTTGAAAACCCCTGCTATAGAACCATCTCTTGCATGAATGCAGTTCATACATGAAGGTAGAGTAGCCATGACAGTCACATGTGCTTCATGTCTGGCAGTCTCTCTCGTTGCTGAAATGCTAATTGCTTCTAATTGTTGCTAAGTGAGTCCCGTTCTTCTAGCGCAGCAAGTCATTCCAGATACCTAAATGGGTGGCCCTGAACTGGTCATAGGTTTCCTGGGACTTGAACCAATAAACAAAGTCATAAAGAAAGATGAGCATTATTAATAATGATGGTTCCTAGGAAACCAAGGTACCCAAAACACAGGCTGTTGTTGTTAACTTGGTTTGTGCTGTTTGTAAGTAATAGAAGGTGTGATTTTTACAGTGCCCAAAAATGTGCAAGATGCTTTACAGATGCTTCCTGCTCTAGTGAGTTTTCAGTCTCCATGTTATTCATGTCACAATGAGGGAGAGGGTTCTAAGTATTGGGAGGGTGGGGGGCTGGGGCAGGCAAAGGAGGACAAAATAACACAAATAAGGGCTTGTATTGATTATACATAGGCATATGTATCCTGATGATTGTGCTATGTTTTTTAATATTGTTGTATATAAAACAGATGCAGAATCTGGCTTTCCAGTGCACAAGACTGAAAAGATGGTACATGTGGCAAATGTCACGTATGTGGTAGCAGATGCAAACTTTACAGGTATTGTTTCAGCAACACGGTTATGACACAAAGGAATAAGGCAAGGATTTCCAATACATTTCTCTGCTGATGGAAATTGGTGCAACTCCACTGCAGTTTACACGATACATGAAACGTTTACATGAGAGATTTACTGCAGAGCTACCTAAATAACTCCACAGCAGTGTCTCAGCGTCTACACTTGCAGCCCTCTTTAGCTGCAGTAAACTAATAAATACTGCCAATAGCACTGTAAACACAAGTACTATCCTACGGCAGCATCATTTAGCATGCAGCAATGCACGTGTAGATGCAGACAGGGCTGGCTGGAGCACGAATGTGCTTCAGTGTGGGGGCTGCCATTTGCCTGGCCCCACATAGAACACCCTTGTGCCCCAGCCAGCCCCTGTGCAGCATGCTGAGCAGGTTGGAGCAGCCCCACACTGGCAGGCTATCCCCTCAGGCCCTCTGCCAGCCAGGGCAGTTCAATGTACTGCACTCCCAGGCACACATGTAAACACAGCACCCAGGAGCAATAAACTCCAGTGCAAACAGCACTGGAGTTTATTGTTCCTCATTAAGAGTATATGTAGATGCGCCCAGTGAGTTTGGTCCTTAGTTCCTCTGTGGTGGTGATGAACTCTATCACAAGATAAATAAGCATAGGAGAGTGGTTGGTTTTGTAAGGGCTGGCTGGCTCTTGGACAGGATCTATGTTTGGATGAATCTCCTCATCAGAACCCAGATACGGCACTAACATGAGAAAATAGAAAGTGAGTACTGTTCTGAAAAAGCCTAGGGCTTCACCTGTATTTCTATAACCTAGTTTTTCTTCAGTGCTTATAAAGCCCTGAGGAAAATAACACTGTCCTAGTAATAACTATGTATGATTTTGAAGGATTTATGTAATCTTTTTTTAACCTAGTCAGTCATTCTTTCAATGCTCTGTCATGTGTGTTGCTAGCTCCTGTTAAGGGGTCTATGAAATGTGATTTAGTATTTAAAATTAACTTACTTCTGGGTTTCTAATACAGAATTACATTCTGCTTTGTCATGTTTTTCAGATTCCTCTCATTTTATAGCTGTTATACCTACTTGTCCTCAAGTTCCTAATGCTCCTTACTAAATGGGTACACCCTTGCTCTAATCATTGATTATTATTTAAATCAGAAATGAGGAAACCTGGTGCTAAGGTGACAAAACTAGGGTGGTAAGAGAATTTAAAAGCAATGTATCCTGCTTGAATCAGCAGCACTGCCAAACTTTGTGACTTTCCCCTACATCTGAAAATACTTGGTGATTTACTTAAAGCCCCCAGACTCCTACACTCATGTCATCGGGGCAGATACAAGGGAGATGCACTTGTACCCGCTTTGATTCTTGTTCCACCTAAAATTTAACACCAACTGGCTGGCAGTGGCAGGAGCATTTCTAGTAGAGTCAATTGACTTCACATCTCATTATCTACCTGAACCCTTCTAAACTCCTTATTCCCCAGGTGTTAACAACCCTCTCTTCTTTTTAATGATTTTGATGGTCCACCAAAATCATTTCCCTTTGTTCTGCAGTTCTGCTGTCCGTTAGCTGCGCCTGGTAGTGAAGCTCCTATTTCACAGCCCTGCAGATTGTTCTTCATAAAATCATATATGACATCAGGCTGCAAGAACCCTCCAGAGGTCATCTCATTCAACCCCCTGCTTGAGGTAGGATCACCCCTATCCAAACCATAATCTAAACTCTAAGACTGTTGTCAACCCTGACACAACACAGACCTAACACCCTAACCTGCCACAGTAACCAATGTCCTGCTTCTATGAAATGTTGTTGATATACGCTCAAGAGATCCCAGGAAGAGGGCCACGCCACCTGCTACAGAGGAAGACAACCCACCCCCGCAGTTTGCACCAGTCTGACCATGGGATAAAATTCCTTCCAGACTCCAAATATGGTAATTGGTCTGACCCTGAGCAGAGGGACAAGACCCTCTAGCCAGGAACTGCCAGCTTTGATCTTAACAGGAGCACTGGCACAACACAGCCAAAGATCCCAGACCCAATGCCTCTGAGGGAGGCTTAATAACACCCTGACAAGCATAGCAGAAAGCAGGGAAGGAGGACAGCCAGCAAAGCACAAAGGCCTGGGAAATCCCCATAGTAAAACACAGGCACAGCTATGCTAGATCAGTGGTCCTCAGCATTTTTTGTACCAGGACCCATTTGTAAAGATCGATGGCCAGTCCCGACCTAGTAAATAGTTTAAGTAGGAAACAGCCCCCTGGCTCTGCTGGTGCCCCTCACTCCGGGCCGCTGCCCCCAGCTCCCCAGTGTGTGTGTGTGGGGTGGGGGGGCAGGCAGGAACTCTGCCAGCCTAGGAGGGGACACCCACCGTTTCCCATGCACTCCGCCTTCAAAGGAGGATCCATTTTTAAAGTTTGTCCGTGACCCTTTCATATATTCTCGTGCCCTACGTTTGGGTCACAAGGTTGAGAAACGCTGCGCTAGATCATCCCCCGCCAGAGGCTGCCCAGACCCTGCTTGCACAGCTCCGGCGAGGGCCGGCCCCCTCTGACCTCGCTGCAGTGAAGCTATATTTGTGCTTCGCTTCCACCTTAACCAGCCCCATCCATCCCTAGCCCCTGGCCCATGAGTAACGCTCCCCGCTGAATCTGAACGGGACAAAACTGCTGTGCAATGCGGCCCCCCGAGGTCGTCTTTCCTCCGCTCCGAGGGAGCTGCCTGGTCCCGGCTGCGGGGGGCTCGCGGGGCGCCCCGTGCAAAGGCCTGTGGGGCTGCGCCCGTGCGAGGTCCCGGGGGCGCTGGAGCAGCGCCCGGCTCGGCTGGCCCCGCC